TCAAAGACCACAGGTCCATCATTACCCGCTTTGACAATTTCTTCACAGGAAAATAAAGCCGGATAGACTAGAAACCGGTTATTATAGCCGCAGGCAAAACGCCAGAAAACTCAATATAATGACCTTCAAGGATAAACTGGTTTAAACTTCAAAGACCACTGGTCCATCATTACCCGCTTTGACAATTTCTTCACAGGAAAATAAAGCTGGATAGACTGGAAACTGAGTTATTTGGCCATAGGCAAACTCCTTAACTCCCCTTTTCCTTCGGTGATGTACCAAAGAAAAGGAACTCGAAAATCTTCAGGATAAACAGTCGTCGTCGGTCATTTTATATTGTTATAAAAACAAAATATATAGGATAAATTAGAAAAAGTTGAAAAAAAATACCGTTGCCTAGTACTTAAACAAAAATATAAACAAATATACAATAGGAAAAAAGAAATGTAATAAAAATATACCTTCGATAATGAAGCTTCCAGTCCGTGGGAAGGTGAATGAAGTAAAATTTTGATTTCATGCAACAAGGGGGTTTTAAAGTCTGTTATGACGCAACGTCACGTGATTCTTTTCGGTCAATTCTATTGGCCCAATTAATCAATAATTTCCACATTCAGTACATATATTATTTTGTTTGATTTATAAAGGTGGCATAATTAAGCAAAGTATTAAAGATTAATGAAATTCTTTTAATCTTAAAATATTGATTTATTTGAAGTGAATTGAATTTAATGTTTATGAAACCTGATCTTGTGAGTAATAAATCTTTATAAAATACTAAGGATTCAGCTGCGTTTAATGAAAATATCATAAATAAAAATTCAACTAAGCTCACTTAAAACTGAGCCAATCTTTATTATAAAATTCAAATCGAATAAAAGGAATATATATTTTTTTAAAAAAGAAAAATGATGCATTGTATATTAAAGTATCATACTGATTACTCTCATACCATATCTTTTGATTCTTTTATTTCTTTTATGATAATCAAATATGTTCACAAAATTGGTAATACAAACTTTATTTATTAAGACAACACATTATTAATTTAAAGCATTTATAAGAATTTTAAGATAAGGTAAAAAAAATAAATATCAAGATAAAAGAAAACTGTCTATGGTAACATCAAGAAAATTCTATAATTTATTTAAATTATTTAAGAACCATCCCAAATGATTTCTAATAATGATAATCCATAATTAGTCATTAAATCACAAATTAGTGCATTATAAAATTTAAGAAATGACAGTAAATAAACAAAGTTCAACATTTGAAATTGTTTAAGATAATTCAAATCCAGTATTAGAATGAATGGCTATTAAAAAAAAAAAAAATAGATTTGAAATTGGTTTTTTTTATTCAATTAAATTGATTTAGAAAAATTATAAAATAACTTGCCATATTTTAGTTTATCCTTCATAACAGATTTTTGTGAATATGCTTATATAAAAAAATAATATTACTAATCAAACAATTTGTCATCGAAAAACATATACGAATCTTGAAAAGTTCTACTCACATGGTAACTTTAGTAAATTAAAGCTAATAAAACAGGTTTTATTAGTATATCTTCTTGAAAATTCATATATTTAAGACAATGCTCTTACTTACCATGTTGAACTCATTGGTAGCCTCTCCTTTGAGGCGGATTTTGAATTTCCAATTGAAGAAAATAAAGATTTAACTTGTCCCATACTTAATCTTGAACGTGAAAAATTGCTATTTTCTACAGATGAATCGTGATCACTTGGAATCATACGAATCGTAAATTGTGGTTGAAGATATCTATAAAAAAAAATTTTTTTTTCCGAGAAAGTTAATAATATATTTTAACTTACAAAATACTTTATTATTGAACCGAAAGCTTACTTAAATCCACCAAGGGGAGGCTAAAAATGTATAAGAATTATGTTATTATAATACAAGTAAAAAAAAAAATTCTTTTTATAAAGTTCAAACTTTGACCAACCTTGGAACAACTCGTAACAAATTTAAGAAATGCGCTTTTATCATTTGATTTCATCTCTTCTAATATAGACCAAAAGTGCCTTATACTTCGATGTTGGTCGAAGTATCCATTCTGATATACCGTATATTTACGCAGATCAGAAATGTCTATAATTTTGTAAGTTAGTTTCACTTTAAATACCTTTGCTAAAGACAAAAAGAATAATTACCCCAATCAACATCTTCCCCGGAAAGAACACTGCGGTAAAGATAAAATAATTAGATAAAATTTTACTTGAATCACATTATTAATTAGTTAAGTATACATACCGTTGTAGTTCTAGTGGTGAAAACATTCTTAGCCAATTTTCGGGTATCATAGATTGAAAACTAAATCGTATAGTCAAATGATTAAAATAATGAAATATAAATATGAAAAGTCAACAAATGAATACAAACCCATTAATGAATGCCTTGGTTTGTTCTTTTGCCTGTTTATTCAACTTGTAATCAGCCATAAGATATATATACTTAAATAATAAATAAAGCAAGTTAATATCAATACTTAATATTTTATATTAAATAAATAACAACCTTTTAGAACAAACCTGAATCCTATTGTCATTATTAACAGGCATGTGTGATCCACCCGTTCTGAGTTCTTTTGAAACGATTTTCCCATTACATTCTTCATCAATTGCAAAATATAATCCCAAGTCCTCAACATTTCCTAAAAAGTAAGAAACATATTAACAAATATAAATGACCAATTAATAATATAATTCCATTTATAAAAATAAAAATGACAATTACCATCATATCTTTTTAAAATTCTTAAATTTTTCAATAAATCATCGTCCAATCCAATTAAATCTTCCAGAAAAACAGCTCTACCGGCCATTTTACTTAGGAAAAATCCAGCAAATTGTACGTCAACTAAAATACCTTCCTGTATCGCTCTTGCGATCATTTTACCCAAAAACGAATATAATGTAATCTTTGTTAAAGTATTTTGATGATTTGGATAAAGCAATGAACTATTAGGAGTTACAGCAAATAAACCACAAGATGGATCAAATGCTGTGAAAATAGAATAAATAAAATAAATGAATAAATCTAATTCCGATTAACCGAAAAATGACGTTAAAATTAAATAATATATAAAAATTTTAACCTTCAGCGATAAGCTGCGTTATGAATTCTTTAAATGGACCTCCTTGATCAACACCATCTTCCTCAGCACCTAAATTTTACGTAAGAGTTGTCATTAATCATGAAAATCTCATGTTCCTTTCTTAAACAAGATAAATTTAATTTTACCAGTTTCGTTTACAAACTTTACGCGAATCCTTCCTTTTGTTCGCATCGGAGTTAATCCACCCAAATGTTTATATCCATCATCCAACACATGAGCTCTCCTAACTTTAATCATATTTTCTGTATTTAAAATATTTGGGATACCATCTTTCAAATAATCACGAAAAATTTCTAATCTCGTTTCAAACGGAATTGTATGCGGTAATAAATTAAGAATTTTAATCGACGTAGGATCATTATCACGGATTCGATCCAAAAACGACATTCCCATAAGATCTTTATCATGATTGGTACTTGACATGGATTTTTTGAAAAGGTCTTTCAGCGATTTTGGTAAAGATTTCTTTGGATCTTTAATTAGTAACCAAATATTTTCTTCAGAAAATGGACGACGCGTGTCTATCGAATGTAATTGAAGTAAAACTCTACGTGCTGATTCAAATATTGTTGGTGGATAACCTTCAGGTGGTGAATGACTTAATAATGCAAAGCAAAATCTGTTAAATAAAACCGCCATGGTAAATAAATAAGTTTAAATTGAAAAAGTATTTTGAATATAATATAATTCATCGTCAACATACGTCATAAAATAAAAAACAAACTTTATTTTTTTTTTTTTTTTTTTTTTTTTTTTTGATTTTCCATCGTGAAACTTTTAAATTATACTCACAATAATAATATACTGCAACATTCACAAAATAATTCTAATATACCTATCAAAGGTTCCTTTTCTGGCGCTTTTACTACAGATCCATTCAAGAATATCTCCATATTCCCTTTAGGTCCCAAACACATTAAAAACTTCCAAAGATTAGGAACGAGACTTGGAAGATAAGTTAAATTCATTGTGATATCATGTTTTTGATCGGTGAGAAGTTTTATTAGCAAAACATATAAACGACAAACTACTTGAGTTTCAATAGCATAAATTGTAACTTTGCCTGAAGTCAAACTAACTTTCTTATCGCTAAAACTATTTTTTCTTGACGATAATTTTGACAGATTACTTTGATTTTTAATCGTAGATTTAAAATTCAAAATATGATCAAACGCTTT